AAACTAGACGATGGCCAATACATCTTCCGTTTCATTTTTGACACCCCCACCTTTCCCCGACTTGACACCTTGAAAGTATCTCTATACCGCTACTCAATATAAACACCCTACACTCGCCTACCCAATTTAGAAAATTCACCATAGCTGTTACCATGGGGATTTTGATTTCAATTTTAAACAAGTAAATTTCAGATATACGTTATTCCAACAAAATTTCGCTTGAGGATGGAACGGAGCCCATTTTACTTTCAACTCAATTTAATTTAAAGGATTATATTGAAGTTTTCGGCTCTAGTTTTGAAACATGAGACCTCTTATGTAGCGATTTGGAATCATATTTTTAAATAAATAATTATATATATATATATATATATATATATATATAATTTAACACTGAGGTCAGCACTAAGCAGTACCAGTCTGTCTCCTGCTTGAACACTATTTTCAGGCCATGATGACCTCAGTGTCCACTTTTATATTTACATTTTCTCTATCCCTGATATTGTGGATTTTTACCCATAAATATATTATAGCTTAAAGCTATCTATCTATCTATCTATCTATCTATCTATCTATCTATCTATATATATATATATATAATAGATGGCCATTCGTTTCGAGGATACCCGTCTACAAGAACAACTAGCAAATCCCTATTACAGACTCTCGCTCAGGCACATTTGTGTTTGTTCAACACCCACAGAGCCCAGCTTTGGTTTATACTGCAACTATGCTGAGCAGACCTTAAGGTTTCGGATTTTCGATGGAACGTGTTGCTTTTTTCTAGCATCCAGTCTTTGAGTCGTTCTCCCTATGTAGCGCAAACCACACTTACATTTAAAAGAATAAATTAACGAACTATTATGTTGTGGAGGGAGAACATCCTTACTCATAGACGGAAGGACAGGCTTGGCTGAGAAAAAAACACGAGTGTTAGCGGCAAAGTAACAATGTTGAACTGCGGTAGAAACCTGCTAAGTACACTCCCTCGGACATTTTGACCTATACATACGGGTCTTCCATCGCAGAACACTTAATAAATAGCCATAATTGTGCTGTTAGTTTTAGTGTGGATTCATTTACCATCCTGAGCAGGTCGCACTCTAATTACCACCTAAAAGTGTTGGAGGCCATCTATATTCTTATTAAAGCCTTCTCTATGTAAACAGGACTTTGTATTAGGCCTCCAACTAATTACCATCTAATTCCCCCACCCAATACACTTTGTCCATTTTTCTTTTGAAATAATTTACTTCATTAACCTCAATTTAGCTCAATTGAGCGAGGTTCGAGACCGATTAGCTGGACCTTTTTTCATTTTTACTTTTTATTATCATCATGACTGGTAATAATAAAATTAATTTTGTCTGTTTATGGCAGTCATATATATATATATATATATATATATATATATAGACCCTAGTGAGTCAGAACAAACCTACCCAGGAAAACACCTGAACGGATCGTCAGGAAAGTCAGCTTTCCCTGACGATCCGTTTAGGTGAAACCTAGGTAGGTTTGTCTGGCTCACTAGGTGTATCTCGGTCTGCTCTACGGTTGTATTGAGCTCTTTTGTTAGTTAGTTGTTTACTCGTGTCAGGGTTTTTTTTTGGGCTTCAAACCTGCATCTGTGCGATTTTTTCGACAGACTTTCATGTTTCTAGCTCTTTCTTTTTTTAAAACCTTTTTATTCCTCGAGATTGATTTGATTATTGGCAAATCAAAAATTCGAGGGTTTTTCGAAACGAGTATAGTTATCTATATTTGTATATATATATATATATATATATATATATATATATATATATGTATGTATGTATAATAAAAGAAAAGCTGTCCGTCGCATGCTACCTGCGTGTGATTTGCACGTATGCCTCCAGCTCTGGAATCAATGGTAGAATCATTTCAGTTATAATGTCCTTCCTAACGAGTAGATCCCTGAAGGTAGTTGTTAACTTCTAGTGCTCCGAAGCCCAAGCGATCAACGCAACCACCCCCTTACAAGATTCGTTTTTCTGTCCAACTCCATTCTCTACTTTACATAAATTATCTACTTAAGAACAAACTCCGATCATTTGTGAATATGCTGATTGTACAACGGTAGTTGAGTGCATCTCTAAAACTCGTGATCACCAGAGATTATCAGCTGACATCTCATCCAATCTAGAATTATATATGCAGAAAAACCACTAATCTACTGCCCTCCCCCATCAAGGACTTCGGATGCAACGGACAAAATCTGCAAAAAAAAAAAAAAAAAAAATCTGCTGGAAAAAAACCCCAAAAACCTTCCAAAACGTCAGCGATGTATTTCAAATTTTGCGGACTTAACGGAACGAGTCGTATTAGTTCTCAAACTAACCGCTTGGCGGCGATGGCGGACTTTTCACCTTTAATCAAAGACAGGTGTACAGTATATAAAGTACGATACATTAGCGCGTGCGTAAGAAAGTAACTGTGAGAAATCTATTACTTTTGTTATTTTGATTAATATATCTATATTAAGTATATATTTATTTATAGCATATATATATATGTTTATAGTATTTACATTTGAACATAAGTACTGATATAATGGTTTTATGACTAAAAAATAATCCCTTCCCATCTAGGGCTTTAACTGACCACCTCTTCCCCCTATTAGTCGGTTGATGAGAGGTTTTTCTGTATATAGAATTATATATAGAATTATTATTTTGTTATTATATATATATATTATATGGAAAATTATTCCAAGATTCTTGGCAGCTGATTTGTCTGACCTAGTTCTCACTTGTCAATGGTTACATTCAGTACCTCAAAAACTAAACTGTTGGCATTTCACCATTGTCAAACGGACTCAGAACTGCCACCAATCGCGATGAAGTCATGTTTCCACAGGTAGAGGCTATTGGGACTCAACCCAGACCTCGAGTGGAATTCGTACATAAGATTCATACCTAAAGTACTACTGCCATATATCGGTAGGAGCAGCCCCGTCTTCACTCTCCAAACTCGATAGAGTCCAGAAGCGTCTCCGCATCCTTGTGGGTGACAAATTATCTTCCACTCTACAACCTCTTCCTCATAGACGAAACGTCGCAGGCATCTCGCTACTCTTCATATTATATTCGTATTCCGTTGCTGAGATGTAATTTCTACTCGGACAGCTTCTTTCCACAAACTGCTGCTTTTTGGAACCGACTCCCAAGGGGTTGCTTCCCCGATCACTATAATCTTAACCTGTTTAAGTCTAGAGTTAGTCGTTATGTTACCCACATATCCGTATAAACTACGCTTTTTATTCTGTAAACCTCTACCATGAGTGGCTCTTTGGCCTTGTACATGATAAACATCATTGTAAACGTTATATATATGAGTATGTATTTTTTGTTTTTGTTTTTGTTTTTAACTGATATCACCCCATGCAAGAGGGTAAAGCCACTAAAACACAAGATGTGGAAGAATTAGGAATAAAAACATTACTAATGAGTGAGAAGAGAAAAGAGTAACCAGGAGGACCGTAGATAGCGATTGACATTGCATTTAACTTCATGCAGACTAAAGGTAGCTGGAAAGCATGGAGTCGGAAGGGAGTTCCACAAGCGAGATGTGTGAAAAAAAAAACTGTTAGCATAAAACTTATGGCTACATTTAGACAGCTCAACTGAAAATTGATGGGACCTTGTCGCTAGTTTAGTACTGCGCTTAATTTCATCTGAACAATTACCATGAAATTATTTATAGAAGAGGCAAAGGGAGGCAACTTTACAACGGTAGGAAAGTGAGTGAAGCCGAGATGCCAGATCAGGACCAATAATATCGCCAATTCTTATTTGGATTTTATCAATGATCTCAAGGTAAATAGCAGGACCATCGGACCATATGTAACAGTAATATTCTAAGCATGGATGAATGGTAGATTTATAGATTCTGGAGAGAAGAATTGTGTTGTGCGTGTGTGACATTTAATGTACACACAACACAGGCACATACACATGCACACACAATTTACCCAAGTTTTGTATAAGACACTGGAATAATAGATTGCCCTTCTGCTCAGTCTGGGCAACTACTACCTTAGATTGAGCAATAAAATCATAAATTTGTAGACAGATCATTTTTTTAATCCGAAAAAAATAATCAGATAATTATAGGATTTATTATTTCGGAAAATATTCAATAACGTACAATTATTTTACTTTATGCCATTCAATTAAAATATACAGGATAGGCCAAAAGTCTTGTCACCTCTATATAATTATAATCTTCTATTACAGATGGCTGACATGAGCTCCTACAGTTTGTAAGAGGCGTAGCGGGTGACAAGACTTTCGAACCACTCTGTATATTGTCATATTCAAACTTATACACACACACACACACACACACACACACACACACACACACACACACACACACCAATCAAACGTAATGATACGCACACAATTTGAAGAAAATTGAAATGGATATCTGAGTCGTGAGGACCAGTTTCCCTTCCTGTCTGGCAGGAACCACTTGGTAACAGGAAATATAATAAACGGACTTTTTGATACCCTTTTCTGTCTTGTAACAACCCCTGGGTAACAGGAAAATGCTATATTCCTTCTGTATTTAGATTTATTTTTTAATAATATTTTTTCTAATAAATGTAGTATTTTAAACGAAATTTAAAACTGTTTTGAGATTTGATCATTTTCCTATAAACAAATCGATAGGTATCGAACGAGCTGTTTCTGTTGATTGATTGATTCGATTTTTTATGTATTATCAACACTGTGTCAATTACTTAAAGTCAAAAAATATTTTTAGATTGTAAGAATTGTTTATGAGATAAAAATGTTTTAACGATGCAAGTCTTAGTAATTAACCCATAGGTGGGGGAGAAGAGGTGGATTCATAACTTTCCCAAGGTTATTTGGGCGGAAGTGAATATTACGAACCCAACGGGAATTGGAACTTGGCTCTGCAATTAACAAGTCATTTCCAGGTCATTATATCATCTGCACATCCAAGCTTATATCACCTGGTATTTCCAAGCGCTCAACCATATAGGTACTGACCAGGCTCGACCTTGCTTAACTTCGGTCATCATACGGGAACCGGTATTTTAACGTTACGTACCCCTAAACCAGCCATTTTATTTTTTAATTTCTTTTTTTTTTATTTCATGACCAAAGTGCATAGAGTAAATTTGTAAATATTATTTGAAGAAAATTTGGAGATACTAAAATCAAACAAAGTTCTGGAGAGTATTTTACGAGAGGATGTAAAGCGCGACACTGAACTCCGAAGATGCCTTCCAAAAGCTAAGCAAATTATTAAGAAACAGAAAAAATAGGTTAGAAAAAAAGAAAAGAACACTGATTTTTTTGATGGAATGCCAAATATTTTGCCTTGCTGCAGATGACGAAAGATGGATTTTCATGACAACAGAAATCGAAGTTAATCTGAAAACGAAACCAAAAATCCAACCACTGATGACCTTGCTGTCTTTTTGAATATGACAGGTGTCTTCAATTACAAGTTATTTGAACATGGATACAGGGCCGGTACCAGGGTCTTGTGCTCCCAACCCCAATCTATGATACCCCCTGAATCTGTGACATTAGTGAATCTATGATACCACCTCAAACTACGATACGCCCCCAACATCTCAATTTTCATAAGGTAGTATTCATATAAAAATATATATATAATTTTATTGTAACTTATGTACAATAATGGATCATATGCAATATAGGTGAACAACATCTAGATAAATTGAAAATAAATACAATCTATTGAAATACAATTTAGAGACATGTCTTAATAGATTATTCCATCTTAAATAAATCGAGAATATTTTGCGGGAATTTTGAACATCAACCTGAAATTCTTATTAAAAAGTTGAATAATTTTAACATATTCAACATTACGGATAAAAAATAGTGAATTTTATATCGTGTTTTTTTTAGACTTAGCATGAGGAAAACATTCACGGATTTGGACAAAAAAAAAAAAACGTGAAAAATCAGCGAAAATTTGTCATCCTTTAATAGCTGTGCTTAGTTTAATTTGTAATGTATATAAATGTAGGTAGAAAAAGAGCAAATATCGATAAGATAGTGAGGGTAACAAAGCATTGTCCGGGACCTTCAACCAGATTTGCATCCAGCCTTCAAACTATTTCCACCAAGAAAGAATAAGTTCGTCAATATGGTGGGATGTTCTTCCACAGACTCCATACTGTCCAGGTTTAGCAAAGTTAGATGTTTAATTGTTTCGATCGCAAGAACGTTTTCGTATAACATTCAGAAAGAAAGAATTTGGGAAAAAAAGGTTTCAACCAATTGCTGTGTGCGTGTTTGGAAACGCAGATTTCTTTCAACGTGGAATCGTTAATTTGACTTTCCGTCGGAGTGAAGACACAGTAAATACAGGGGATTACAGAAATGAAGCAACGGAAATGTGTTTTTTTTTTTAAGCGTTTCACCCCAAGCAAGGCGGGAAGCCACTAGGGCGCAAGGGGTTACAGAAGATTTGGAGCAAGATCAGATAGGAGTGATAGAAGAAAGGATGAGGAGAAGGGTAGTGGATAGATCAAGGCAACTGGAGGTGTCGATTGACATTACATTTGAATAGTTGGAGATTATAGCTCTGAGGGAAACTGGAATAGGGAAGGGTGTTCCACAGGCGAGAGGTGCAAGACATGAAGCTATTGGAGTAGAAGAGACGGCTACATTTAGGAGTTTCGACAGTGAAAGAGTGAGAGCGGGATGCCAGCCTCGTAGGGCGCTTGAACTCATGAAGTCTGGGAACCAGCGAATGCAGTTCCTCGGAGCAATTACCATGAAAGTATTTGTAAAAAAGACAGAGAGAGGCGACAGCGCGTCTGTGAGAAAGTGACTGTAGACGAGATGCTAGAACAGGACCAATTATATTGCATACAGGAGGATGCTGAGAATGTCTTGGTCAGAACATGTGAGCCACGATGAATTTTTACAGAAAATGGAAACTAAAAGAACCCTTCTGATTAACAACACTTATCAGACAGTTGAAATTTCTCGGCCGCATAATAAGGAAATTTTTGACAAATTTAATGAACACAAGGCAGATTGAAAGCAAGATGGGCTGTGGAAATTAAGGCGTAATCTACCCAGTGAGTTTGTGTAAATGGATGACAGAATAGGGATTAGGGGAGACAACAAAAAGACAAAATTTATTAAGAGCTACAAAGGATAGGAAATTGTGGAGAGCCGTTACCACCAACGCCCTGAAAGGATACGGCGTATAGAAGGAGAAGAAGAAGCTAATTAAATATTCGTATGTATATGTCATATTGACTAAAGTCCTGAGCATGACGATGAACTACATCTGGCAGCAAATCCTCTAATCGGGTGATTGGAGGTTTTGGAGAATGGTGGAACGAGCTATTAATTGCTGTTGTTCAGAGGTCCAACCTGAGGCGGATTGGTAGCAAATGTTAAGAACCCCGCTATGGGCAAATATTGACAAAACTATGAAAGTATAAAAATAGATTTTATAGTAAAAATACCAGTAATATATTTTTATGTAAATGTAAAAAAAGATCAAAATTGGTATGATGACTAAAAATACATTTTAAAGCAAAATAACAAGCTATAAATTTTATCTGTAATTGAAGGCATGAAATTGCGTTCAAACTATATTTAGTTGAAGTCATAAAATTGCCTTACAAAATATTTAAATTTTGGCATTAAATGACCCATGAGGTGTTGATATGCCGTTAAACAATCAAATTAAATCAAAGCACCCAAGAAAATTAAATTTCGGAATTAACTGACCCATGAGGATGTTGATATGCTGTTAAACAAATCAACCAACCAACCAGTTTGATTACAAAACGTAGCGCCATTACCAAAAATGTTATCCGTTTCGAAAGCACTTAAAGCGACAACGGTTTTTAAGGCTACTTCGGATTGGGGCAATCTTTAGTGTTCTGTTTGGAAAAGGAAAGAAAAAGAAGAGAGAACGAGAGAAGAAATTTAAATAGCGGCAAAAGAAAGAGAAGAAAAAAACGATGCGAGAGAGTGAGAGTGAAATAAAGAGAGAGTGAAAGATGGAGAGAGAGAGAGAGTGAAAGATGCAGGGAAAGGGAGAGAGAGTGGAAGTGAAAGAGAGAGAGTGAAAGGGAAGAGAGAGAGATGAAAACAGAGAGAGTGGGGACAAATTAAGAAAGAAGTTATGGTATTTATTGATAAATATATTACATCGAGTGTGGCAAAAGGCCGAAATTGGGTGAAGGCCGAGGCTGTTCTTCATGCTTCCTCCGTTCAACCCAATCAGCCCCAATCACTGACCCACTCGTTCAACAATATTCCACTCACCATAAAGCCACACTCCTACAACCCCCCCTACTCCGCTACTACAGCCACCAAAACACCACAACCTTTCCATTAAGTCCCAACCAGTTCCCACATCGACAATTTTTTTTTTGTCTGGGGGTCCGGTCACAAAAATAACAGTAGAAAGAACTTGTTATTGTGCAAGGGAAAAAGACCCAGAAATCATCAGTTTCTTCATAAGGTACGGTAGAGTAATGACTTACGATTCGGAGTGATGGATCGGAGAGCCGAGTTCGTAATTACAGTTGAGTTCATTACATTTCGTCGTCGTTGGCATCCGTCCTTCTCGAGTAGCGCGGTGCGTTACGAGCCTGGTCGGGATATATGGAGAACTAGGGCTGCTAAGACTTCTATTTTCCCCTCTCGGCTTTGCGAGCAGAGTCCAAAGGAGAGGATAAACCAATACAGTTTGGTACCAGCGCGGCTGCAGGAGTTGCCGGAAGGTAGCACAAAGTGCCGTCCATCCGCCTTAGGGTCTCGACTCTGGATTTGAATTCAGAGTTCTCCTAAACCAGTTGCCATCCAAGGCTATAGTCTGTCCTGCTATTTACCCATAGCTGGAAGGAGAAGAAGAGGATTCACACCTTTCCCAAGGGACGTAAGTGACTGTAATGGATTCGACTGGAATTCGAACTCTGCTCTCCGATTCCTCAATCCAAGCCGCTATCAATTACCCCTCCTACACATTACATTTACTTATGTGCTAATACATTAATACCCTTAAGAAAAGATGTGAATCTATCTCTTGTTCTTCTCTCCCCCAGCTATAGGTAAATCTCAGGAGAGACTGTGTTTTATAGCCTTGGATGGCAACCGATATAGGAAAAGGAAAACTCTGAATTCCATACTGTATGTAGTCCTGTCGAAGCACATATGCAGCTAAGGAAAGGATCGTTTGTATTGACTTGAGGATCTCAACTACGGTCGACACATATATGACAATTGGTTCTCGGTTTTCCTATTAACGGGCTGTTCGATTTTGACCACGACCCCTTCCAAAAATAAATAAATAAAATATGATTCTCCAAATAATGGGAACAGGTCAATATCACCTGGTGTCGAATCAATCGTTTTATCTCAGATGGGGAGTTCTAAATGCAATTAAATGCCGTGGAAATTTTTACCATTGTTGGCAGTTTTCAAGAAATGATTGAAAGTTCACAAATTGTCATTACAGAGTTCGTATTGTAAAAAAAAATATTTCGTATTAATAATATTATAATAATTTACAATAACAAATTACTCATCTTTTTTGTTGCCTTCATCAGGTATATATTAACCTGGGTAACCCACAGGTAATTCCGAAATTAACACTTTATTTAATCTAAGGAGGTAGACTGTTCTCGTTCCACTGTCCACGTCTCGGGAATTCTCGTCTGGTTTATATTTTTAGTACTGCTCGGTTACTGCGTATTTATTAAATTAAATTTCCTATTCATTAAAATTTTAAATGAACGCGTATTTACATGTTATGAGTATAAAGTTGAATTTAGCATCAATTAGCAAATATGATTTTATAGTTTAAATGTATTTTGATTACATGAGAGCCCAGTTTTATTAATAGAAGGTTGTTTTATTTTAACGTAAATGATCTTCAAGATTTGTAATCGTTTTTTTTTTTTTTTTGCCGTGTAAGTGGTAGAGAACGATCGTATCGCCAAACAAAATCTGACAGGTTGCACACTTTGAATTTTAAATTGACTTAATATCAGTTGAATTGCATCAAAGATTTATAATACAAATTAAAGAT